AGGCCGTGGGGCCGCGTCACGTGGGCCTGCTGGAATGTGCGGCTCGTCTAGGCGCCCCATTCAACTGCGCGAGCTCGCCCCGCCCACTTCGGTCCGCGCCCCGCCCTCTCTGGCCCTTGCCCCGCCCCGCCCTGCTCTGCGGACGTCAAGGGCGTGGCCGCCGGCAGGGGCGCGGGCTGAGCTGGGCGGGGGAGCCCTGAGGCTCTGGGGCATGCGCAGTCGTGGTATTCCTGACTGCTGTCCACGTGACCGCTAAGCACTGCTTCGGTTACCTGAGCCATTCATTTCTGGACTGTGCCACTTTGTACTGCTGTTTGGGGCTGTGGTGGGATGGGAGCTGCTTGGCCAGCTCCAACGTTTGCAAAAATTGCACTTCGAAGCAAGCATCCGAGCAAGGCACTGCCTTAAAATCTGTATGGGCTTTTTCTGGTCGAGGGCCATCATTCCTGCCTGCATTCACCACTGCCTGGGATTCACTAATCTAGGTCGTGTTCTCTGCCGGATTTACAGGAATTTTGCTGCCCTGCTCAGAGGAGACGAACTTTTCTGTCCCTCTAACTCATGTTAACTGGGAAATACATGGGTGAAAGGAAGGAAGCCCATACAGCCTTTCTCAGAATACCAAATGTCTTGCTGCTTAGGGTCTTTTGAAATCCAGTGGGGCTGGAGCATAGGTCAGAGGCACTTGAGAGGGTAGTGGACTGCATTGGCCAGCAGAGAAGAATAAACACTAATGCCCGACCATGTTATTAGTAACCTGTTTTGTAAAGGAAAACCAGAATATTCTGTGAACTGAAGTTTCTCCCTGAAAGTGTAACAGGGGTTCACTTGATGTTTTGACTATATTACTTGTGGTGGTGTAAGTTTCAGGTTTTGTTCTTTTTCCCAGTCTTCTTTTCCCTAAACTTCTCCCTGATCTTTTCCCTAACCTTCTTCCTGATCTTCTTTCCCCTGATCTTCTCCTTCCTGATCTCTCCTCCCTAATTTCATTTTCTCTAAATCACCTCTATAAAAGCCCCCGTTCCTGCGGATGGGCAGAATCACAGCTTTTGGGACAGGAGTCCTCTGTTTCTCCTCTGCTAGCCAAGGAGTAAATCATCTTTTTCTCAAAAGGATTGGATTGGATTGGCATTGGAGACAAGGACTAAGAGCTTTTAATAACAAAAGGATGTATTTTTATTTAAGAGCTCTTTATTATTAAAATTTCACTGCTGTAGACTTGTAAACTTGTACTAGTGTTAGAAATTAAGAAGCCTAAATTGTACTGAGCTACTTTAGGCCCTTTTACAACCATTCCTCTATTATCAGCCTCTATCTGACTTTATGTGTGAGAGAGAGAGAGAGAGAGAGAGAGTGTGTGTGTGTGTGTGTGTGTGTGTGTGTGTGTGTGTGTGTGTCTGTCTCGGGGGCAGACAGACATCAATGGATAAAATCTAAAAGTCTTCAGCTGGACAGATCTCAGGCTTCTATAATTTAAGCCTGGATATGAGAAGTTACCTGAATCCTGCAGAAATTTTTTCCTGCTTTATTGAAAAGAACATCTGAAACTTATGGAAAATACTTTCCCATCATTTTGTAGTTTGCCTGGCCAATTATGCCCACCTAATTTTTGCAGAACTATAAAAGGTGTGTGTGTTCACTCAACCTAGTGAACTTGGAGAAGGATGCACCTGGGGAACCATGTCTTTCAGGAGCTCATGTTGTTAATTTGTGTTCTTGGGGCATAGTCATTCTTGTTGTCTAGGAAGTAATTGTTTTCTTGTGTCCTCAAAGCAAAGGTGTTTTTTTTGTTTGTTTGTTTGTTTTTTGTTTCTTTTTTTTTTCCATTGACAATTCATGGGATCAGCCATTTGCTGCCTATGGTACCAATAGGCTTTTGCTCTAGTCTGAGCTTTGATCAGATGCTAAGTTTATCAGCTCTCAGCACTCAAATTGAATTCAGGAGGCTATCCCATCATTTTAGACATGGGGAAGCATCCTGTAGGTTATGGAGAACATTGCCTTTCAGCTGGACCAAGGATTCCATAGATGGAAAGACTGTCCTACTGTCTTGTTCTCAACTGAATTTTTATCCCCTGCCACACAATAGAGCTAATTAATATTTACTGAATGAATGAATAAACAAAGAATGCGTTCCCAAGGTTTCTCAGAAAGTGAAGCCAGAATTCCTATCCAGGTCTCTTGACCCTCACCAGGCTTTCAGTTTGCCATGGGGAAGAAGACTGGCAAGGTCCCAGCAGCAGCTGTTTACCCACTAGGTTCATTCAACCTAGTGGGTAAATTACTCAGGAGAAGGTAAACAATGTCTAACCATCTTTTCAAATTCTGCTGATTACCTCATTTGGGGCCTAGGACTAACTAGAAAAGGGAAATTACTTAGATGCTGTCCCAAATTTGTTCAGTATCCATTGCTTTGCGCATTAAGCATCACACAAACTCTGTCCTTTCAATAGCTGAGGTTTTGAACAAGAAAATACTATTAATAATAAAATCACCCTCAACTAATGTTTACTGAGAACCCACTGTGCCTATCTGCACTAGCATAACAAGAGCCTGGATAGAAATAAAGGAAATATTAAAATTTAAATGCTAAGGCAGAAATGTGTTTTAATAGGCAAGAGTTAAGCAAAGGTAAATAGAAGAAAAAACTAAGTATACAAAAGCCAAGCCATGTGTGTGATGTCCCAAGTTAGGAACAGATAAATACAAACAAAGATGTGAAAATATCAAATTTATAATAAACAAGGACTCCTCCCCCTTATGGTTTGCATAAGAGTGGTAGACTATGCAAAACTTTGAATTCACTATGGGAATCAGTGTCCACTCCATATCTCAGTCTGAAAGGTGTTCCTGGAGGAAATGACACTCCAGAAAACCTTCAAAGCAGGAATGATGATGGGCTTTGGAAACAGAAGGTTTGTTTTCTGTGCCTGGAGGATAAGGCAAGGCCAGTCCTTCCAAGCAAATCTGATTCCTTAAGCAATCTCCTTCATACTCACTTGAAAAGACTCTTTTTTCCAATGTGAAAAGTTTAGATCCACACATAAGAAGCATCTATTATAGGTCAGCAAAAGTATGACATTGGAGTAAACAAGACCCCCATGGTCCCTGCCCTCATGAAGATTCCAGATAATGATTAAGTTTCTAGAAGTAAACACCATTGAAATATAGATTCTCAAAGCAAATGTATTCTCATATCTTATTTGTATCTAATCGTTGTAACTGCTTCACAAAACTTGTACAAGGGCATTAGGAATCTTGCAAGATGGAATTTCTTTCATAATGCTTTGGGCTTTTGCAAAGCATGATCACCTAGGTAAAGCATGACTACCTAGGTAAATCATGGTGAAAATGTCATGCAAGCAGCAAAGCAATGATAGAGAACTAAACTAAAGTTCCAGTCACTTCTCTTACAACAAGATAATACCAAGAGCAATTTTGTGGGGATGAGTGAATTCACATAATCCTCTATAATTATGTGATTAAAATTAATATACATGGAAAAATTGCTACACAATTGGAAAAATTGAAGAGTTATGAGTATTGGGGAGGAGGGGTTATTTTGGATGGTTCATAGAGCTTAGAGATGGCTCCTCAACTATAAGCTCTTCAGGAGAAAGGTCACAAAACTTAGCATAGAATAACTGTTTAAGTTCTTATGATAAACTATACATTAAAAACAGGGGTTGAGGGAGCTGGTAAGGTGGCACATGCCTGCAATCCTAGTGTCTCGGGAGGCTGAGGCAGGAGCATTGTGAGTTCAAAGCCAGCCTCAGCAAAAGTGAGGCGCTAAGCAACTAGGTGAGACCCCGTCTCTAAACAAAATACAAAATAGGGATGGGGATGTGACTTAGTGGTTGAATGCCTCTGAGTTCAATCCCCAGTACCCCCTTCCCCTGCAAAAATAGAAAAGAAAAATTGGGGTTGAGGATGTAACTCAGTGATAGAGCACTGTGCCAGAAAGCTGAGTCCTCTATCTTGATTATAAACAGTAAGTATATCCAATTAAGCTGAAGAAATTCCTAATTATTCCATTCTGGAAAATCCTCTAACCAGCATATTTTTGTTCTGGGTACAAAATTGGCAGAAGTTTAGGAAAATAACTAAATTTATTTAGTTATTGAGTAGGCTAGATATAAAAAAAACAAGGAAATTTTGCAATTCTTAATTAAAGGATGGAAACAAGAGAACCAGTAGGTTAAAATAAAAAGAATAAGGTATTAATCACTGAGTGTTTATGGAACATCAGCTATGCTGCTAGTATGGGACCAATTATAGAGAATTCAAAAACAGATTTTTTTATGTAGCCCAGGTAGCAAAAACCTAGCCACCAAGGAATTTTATAAAATAGACCCAATTCTGGTATTGTTTTATAAGGTACATACTTTAAATACCACCAATTCCCATGGTCCTATCTTCCTCCTCGAAACAAAACTTCTAAAAATCTTAAATGTTCATCCATTAATTATTTCTTTATAAGCATACTATGAAAAGCAATCTTGAAAAAGGACAAAGTTGGAGGACGCACGCTTCTCAATTTCAAAACCTAGCTACAAACCTACAGTCATGTCTATATGCTACTGGCTTGAAGATAAACATATAAATCAGTGGAATAGAATTGACAGTCCAAAAATAAGTTCATACACTTATAGTTAACTGACTTTTGACAGTGTGCCAAGACAATTCAGTGGGGAAAGATTTTTTTTTTTGGTGGTATTGAGGATCAAACCCAGGGCCTTATGCAGCTGAGGCAGGCACTCTACCAACTAAGCTATATCCCCAGCCCAAGAATAGTCTTTTTTAACAGATTGTGCTAGGACCACTGGAAGAAGAAGAAGGAGAAGGAGGAGGAGGAGGAGGAGAAGAAAAAGGAGGAAGAACCGCCACCACCACCTTCTGTTTCATAACATGAACAAAATTTAACTCAAGCCAGGTGTGATACCTAAGGAGAATCCAAAGTTTAAAAAGAGAAACATTTTTTACAGTACTGGGGATTGAACCTGGGGTTCAATGCATGAAGCACTTTATCACTGAGCTACATTCCCTGGTCCTTTTATTATTTTATTTTGAACAGTCTTTTTTTTGTTTTGTTTTGTTTTTTTTTTAGGAAATAATTTACCTATTTATTTTTGCCTTGTACAGAAATGAAAGTGTGAAACATGAATCCGGTTTTTTATCTTGCCAGGAATAAATTGAAGAGGAGAAATAGCTCAGAGATCTTCTTTTATTGCAATCTCTTGATTTCTTTTAATTCATTTAATCATTTTGAAATAATTTAAATTTATAGAAAAGTTGCTCAAATGGTAGAGTTCCTGAATATCTCTCACTCACCTTCACCTCAAATTAACATCTGATAGAACCACAACAACACAATCAAAGGCAGGACTAATATTCATAAAATATTGTTAACTGCAGATCTTATTCAAGTTCACTCATTTCTC